AAGCCTTTCCTGGGGCTGAGGTGAGAACTGGTTTCATCTTGGGTCTCAGGATTCTGCGAAGATATGGGCAGACAACAGGACAGCCCTAAGCAGGCAGTCTGACCCAGACTTCGACTCAACAGAGGTGTCACTGGGGACAGCTAGACTCCTGTTTTCTGGGCCTGAATCCCCCTCTGAGAGGGCTGGGGTGGCAGAGAAGGTGCCTGGGACCCTCTCAGTGTGGCTGAAGGGGAGAGGAGAGATTTGGGAACCAGGAACACAGACCTTGGCAATTTCTGTGGCTGCCTCATGGTGCAGAAAATCCCTGGGGCAGCAGCTGTGGCAAGGTACGTTGCGGTGGAGAAAGTGGACAGAAGCAGGTGTACAGTGCTGCTTTCAGGGGAACATGCCAGAATGCAGAAATCATGGATGAAGTCTGAGGCCTCTGTGGGGGAGGTGTGCTTACCTGAGTGTGTGTGTGTGCATGCGCGTGTGCGCAATCTTGTGTACAAGCGTGGGTGTGGAGAACCAAACAGGTCAGGAATGAAAGTGGGAGGCAGGAGTGCCTTAAGAGCCAAGGGAACCAGGGGATCTAGATAACATTACTTCATTGGTTGGATTCTATTCATTCACAGAATCAGTAAGTACTTAGTGGAGGCCCCCTCAAGGCCAGGCTAATTGCTAGGGCTTAGGATATGGAGATGATTTAGATGCAGGCGCTTGTGGTCTAATTGAGGAGCCAGGCAGTGAAATGGAGAATTTAACTACCTTGTGAGAAGTGCTAGAACATGTATGTATATGGTGACCAAAGCAGTCACCTCTGCCTAAGGCAGGCAGGAGTACCACCCTGAGGCAAAACTGAGCAGTGGCTCAAAGGATGAGGAAGCTGTTAGTTGGGGTGGAGGCAGTGGGGAGAGATAGGGGAAGGGTGTTCTACACAGAGGGAACAGCAGTTGTGAAACCCTATGCACTGGTTCAGGAACCTTGAACAGATCCTGCGGTGGAAACTTGAATGAGCTGACGGGGCACAAAACGATCTTATCTGTATACATATTATCTGATCCTCTTCCCCCAGTGGAATATAAGCAGCACGAGGGCAGGAAATTTGTCTGCCTTAGTCTCTGCTAGAGTCCCAGAGCCTAGAGCAGTGCTTGACATGCCGTGGGATACATTGTGAATGAATAAACCGAAGATAGGCCCAGGGTGGATGGTGTGGACAGTCAGCTAAAGCATTTGGGCTTTATCCTGGAGTCAGTGGGGAGCCCTTTGGGGTGGGGGTGAAAAATTGAAAGGGCACAAGATCTAGGCTTCCCTGGTGGCACAGTAGTTAAGAATCCGCCTGCCCATCCTTCTCAAACTCTTCCAAAAAACTGCAGAGGAAGGGGCTTCCCTGGTGGCACAGTGGTTGAGAGTCCGCCTGCCGATGCAGGGGACAGGGGTTCGTGCCCTGGTCTGGGAGGATCCCACGTGCCACGGAGCGGCTGGGCCCGTGAGCCATGGCCGCTGAGCCTGAGTGTCCGGAGCCTGTGCTCCGCAACGGGAGAGGCCGCGACAGTGAGAGGCCCGCGTACCGCAAGAAAAAGAAAAAAATAATTGCAGAGGAAGGAACACTCCCAAACTCATTCTATGTGAGGCCACCATCACTCCGATACCAAAAACAGACAAAGATACTACAAAAAAAGAAAATTACAGACCAATATCACTGATGAATATAGATGCAAAAATCGTCAACAAAATACTAGCAGACAGAATCCAACAACACAGTAAAAGGATCATACACCATGATCAAGTGGGATTTATCCCAGGGTTGCAAGGATTCTTCAATATACACAAATCAATCAATGTGATACACCATATTAACAAATTGAAGAATAAAAACCATATGATCATCTCAATAGATGCAGAAAAAGCTTTTGACAAAATTCAATGCCCATTTATGATAAAAACTCTCCAGAAAGTGGGCACAGAGGGAACCTACCTCAACATAATAAAGGCCATATACGACAAACCCACAGCAAACATCATTCTCGATGGTGAAAAACTGAAAGCATTTCCTCTAAGATCAGGATCAAGACAAGGATGTCCACTCTCACCACTATTATTCAACATAGTTTTGGAAGTCCTAGCCACGGCAATCAGAGAAGAAAAAGAAATAAAAGGAATACAAATTGGAAAAGAAGAAGTAAAACTGTCACTCTTTGCAGATGACATGATACTTATACATAGAGAATCCGAAAGATGCCACCAGAAAACTACTAGAGCTAGTCAATGAATTTGGTAAAGTTGCAGGATACAAAGTTAATGCACAGAAATCTCTTGCATTCCTATACACTAATGATGAAAAGTCTGAAAGAGAAATTAAGGAAACACTGCAACAAAAAGAATAAAATACCTAGGAATAAACCTACCTAGGGAGACAAAAGAACTGTATGCAGAAAACTATGACACTGATGAAAGAAATTAAAGATGATACCAACAGATGGAGAGATATACCATGTTCTTGGATTGGAAGAATTAATATTGTGAAAATGACTATACTACCCAAAGCAATCTACAGATTCAATGCAATCCCTATCAAATTACCAATGGCACTTTTTACAGAACTAGAACAAGAAATTTTAAAATTTGTATGCAGACACAAAAGACCCCGAATAGCCAAAGCAGTCTTGAAGGAAAAAAACGGAGCTGGAGGAATCAGATTCCCTGACTTCAGACTATACTACAAAGCTACAGTAATCAAGATAATATGGTACTGGCACAAAAACAGAAACATAGATCAATGGAACAAGATAGAAAGCCCAGAGATATACCCACACACCTATGGTCAGCTAATCTATGACAAAGGAGGCAAGGATATACAATGGAGAAAAGACAGTCTCTTCAATAAGTGGTGCTGGGAAAACTGGACAGCTATATGTAAAAGAAGGAAATCAGAACACTCCCTAACACCATACATAAAAATAAACTGAAAATGGATTTGAGACCTAAATGTAAGACCGGACACTATAAAACTTTTAGAGGAAAACATAGGAAGAACACTCTTTGACATAAACCGCAGCAAGATCTTTTTTGATCCACCTCCTAGAGTAATGAAAATAAAACCAAAAATAAACAAATGGGACCTAATGAAACTTAAAAGCTTTTGCACAGCCAAGGAAACCATAAACAAGACAAAAAGACAACCCTCAGAATGGGAGAAAATATTTGCAAACGAATCAACGGACAAAGGATTAATCTCCAAAATATATAAACAACTCATGCAGCTCAATAGTAAAGAAAGAAACAACCCAATCCAAAAATGGGCAGAAGACCTAAATAGACATTTCTCCAAAGAAGACATACAGATGGCCAAGAAGCACATGAAAAGCTGCTCAACATCACTAATTATTAGAGAAATGCAAATCAAAACTACAGTGAGGTATCACCTCACACCAGTTAGAATGGGCATCATCAGAAAATCTACAAACAACAAATGCTGGAGAGCGTGTGGAGAAAAGGGAAACAAACAACAAATGCTGGAGAGGGTGTGGAGAAAAGGGAACCCTCTTGCACTGTTGGTGGGAATGTAAATTGATACAGCCACTATGGAGAACAGTATGGAGGTTCCTTAAAAAACTAAAAATAGAATTACCACATGACTCAGCAATCCCACTCCTGGGCATATACCCAGAGAAAGCCATAATTCAAAAAGACACATGCACCCCAATGTTCATTGCAGCACTGTTTACAATAGCCAGGTCATGGAAGCAACCTAAATGCCCATCGACAGATGAATGGATAAAGAAGATGTGGTACATGTATACAATGGAATATTACTCAGCCATAAAAAGGAATGAAATTGAGTCATTTGTTGAGACGTGGATGGATCTAGAGACTGTCATACACAGTGAAGTAAGTCAGAAAGAGGAAAACAAATATCGTATATTAATGCATGTATGTGGAACCTAGAAAAATGGTACAGATGAACCGGTTTGCAGGGCAGAAGTTGAGACACAGATGTAGAGAACAAACGTATGGACACCAAGGGGGGAAAGCCACGGAGGGGCGTGGAGATGGTGGTGTGCTGAATTGGGCGATTGGGATTGACATGTATACACTGATGTGTATAAAATTGATGACTGATAAGAACCTGCTTTATAAAAAAATAAATAAAATAAAATTCAAAAATTCAAAAAAAAAAATAATCCGCCTGCCAATGCATGGGACACGGGTTCGAGCCCTGGTACGGGAAGAACCCACATGCCGCGGAGCAACTAAGCCCGTGAACCACAACTACTGAGCCTGCGCTCTAGAGTCTGCGAGCCACAACTACTGAGCCTGGGTGCCACAACTACTGAAGCCTGCGTGCCTAGAGCCCATGCTCCGCAACAAGGGAAGCCACCGCAATGAGAAGCCCGCGCACCGCAACAAAGAGTAGCCCCCGCTCACTGCAACCAGAGGAAACCCACGCGCAGCAACGAAGACCCAATGCAGCCAAAAATAAATAAATTAAATTAATAAATTTATTTTTTAAAAAAGAAAAAAGGCACAAGATCTGACGTGGGTGGGAGGAAATCACTTTGATAATGATGTGAAGGTTGAAGAGACCAGATGATGGCTCTTAAATTTGGGCACTGTCAATAAAAATGAGTGGGGGGTCAGGTTGAAAAATTATTGAGGATAATTCTATACAATTAAGAAGTGTCTCTGAGTTTTACAATATCCCTGGGAGGCAGGCGTTTCCCCGTTTTACAGAGGGGAAAATGGACTCAGTGAGGCGCAGTGACTTGGCCGAAGTCACACAGCCAGTTGGCGGTGTAGCCCGGGGGTTCAGGCTTGCTTTTGCAGCGCCGCAGGACCCAGCACACGATGAGGATCCGAGCCAGGCGGGTAGCGGTGGGAACTCTCGCCATTTCTACTCGGTAACTGCCGGAAAGCCCAGCGGACGGCGAGTAGAAAGAAGAGCGAGCGTCCGGACTGGAAAAGTGAAACGAGGGGCGCGTAGAAGGAGTTTTGGGTCTGAGCGGCCACCGTCGTAGCGGCGCTCTGATCCCCATGACAACAGGGAGAAGCAGCGGGAGGCTTCTGGGCGGTGCAGTAGCTGCGGCCGATTGGAGCAAACAAGGAGCGGAATCCGTGAACTGCCAGCGGCCCCGAGGGCGCAGGTGATGGGGATAGGTCGATGGAGGGAGCCCGGGGTTTGGGGACAACGGTAGGATGTGGCCAGGGTCGGGCTGGGGCCTTCGAAGGAGGCGCTGCCCCGAGTGCCCATCATCGCTGTCCGGACCAGGGACCGTCGTTGGGCCTCAGTTTCCCCAAATGGGAAAGGGGAGGAGGAGAATGGGCATCCCAGCCCAATGGCCCCTCTCAGTGTCTGAGGCCCAGGACTCTCTCTCCTCTGCAGCTCCTGGACTGACTGGCGCTGTCCTGCCCAATGGACGTGAGTCCTACCCTTCTCTGGAGCGGCCCCCTCAGCGCCCTCCACTCACCCTGACTTTGCCTGCCTTGGAGCCTGGACTGGAGAGGGGCCTCTTTACCCAACATAGACCCTTCCAGCTCAGGACAAGAGCTGTGAGACAGAAAGAGAGTTGCAGGGACGGCCTTCCCATGGAAGGGCACATCCCACTCTGGCAAGATGAGGAGCTAGCCAAGCACCAGAGAAGAAAAGGCATCCCAGGCAGAAGGAACAGCATGGGCGTGAGAGAGAGGCCAGGGCATTTGGGGAACTGCTAGGACTTCAGTATGGCTGGAGTGTAATGGGGGAGAGGGAGAGGTAGGCAGGGCCAGATTGAGGCCTTTGTCGCTGAGATAAGAAGTTTGGACTGAGTCGGTGGGAGCCATTGATGGACCACAAGGGAGGGAGGGATACGCAGGACAGCTGGTGTGGAAAGGGGCACAACTGCAGGTTGCAAGACAGTTAGAGGCCAGTTCTGTGGGCTGAGGGATGGTAAAATAGTGCAGTGGAAGCAGAGACAGTAGATCTGTTTGGAGAGGCATTCTGAAAGGAAAAGCAATAAATCTTGGAAAAGTCTAGAATGACCAACAGGTCCTCGATGGTGCTGAAATGGGAATGACAAGAGAAAAGGCAGGTTTGGGGACAAGACAGTGTAGTTCTATTCACTCTCTCCCCACCACCTGGTGGCTGTTCCTCCCCTTTTCCCAGCCACCTCCCATGTCCCTCCTGGTATTTCTGTGTCCCTGCAGCCCCTCCACATCGCCTCATCACCCCTTCCTCCTGTGCTGTCCAGGCCTCCTCTAGCCCGTGGAATCCAACCCCGGCTCCCGTCAGCAGCCCCTTCCTGCTGCTCCCCATCCCTGCCATTGTCGTCCTCGCTGTGGGCATCTATTTGTTGCTGCTGGGCCTAGTGCTGCTGACTAGGCACTGCCTTCTGGTGAGGGGCCTGGTGGGGGCTGAAGGGTGGGCCTGGGGGAGGAGGAACCTGGTCAGTTTTTCCCCTCATTTGTAGGCCCTTACCCTGAGACACCTTCGCCATTTAGTCCCCGCATCTGTCCCTTTCGTGGGACGAGGAGATCCTCTTCTCATCCTCAGCTGAACCTTCTCCTGCCCCTCTCCCCAAAACTGAGTCTTGGCTGTACCCCCCTACCTGCCACCTAGCCCAGAGCTTGAGCCCTGCCTTCTCTTAGGCCCAGGGCTGCTGCACAGACTGCAGCTCCCCCTGCAGGAAGCAAGGCGCCTCCAGGCCCCAAGACTGTTGCTGGACCTGCGCAGAAGCCTGTGACTTCCCTCTGCCCAGCCCAGCCCACTACCTGGATGCCTGCTGCCCCCAGCCCGCCGAATCTGTGAGTTCTCGTCCTGGCCCCTGGCCCCTGAGTCCTGATCTTGGTACTCTCTGTGCATTCATTTTTTTTTTTTTTTTTTTTTTTTTTTTGCGGTACGCGGGCCTCTCACTGTTGTGGCCTCTCCCGTTGTGGGGCACAGGCTCCGGACATGCAGGCTCAGCAGCCATGGCTCATGGGCCCAGCCGCTCTGCGGCATGTGGGATCCTCCCGGACCGGGGCACAAACCCGCGTCCCCTGCATCGGCAGGTGGACTCTCAACCACTGCGCCACCAGGGAAGCCCTGCATTCATTTTTTGGTTCAACAAAATTTATTACTGAGTACCTATTCTAGGCCAGGCACAGTTCCAGGTACTGGGTCAGGTGGAGACAGCCAAAAACAACATATCAGATATTTTCTGGTAATGAAAGCTACTTGGAGAAAGGAAAATAGGGCAGCATCTGGAGAAAGGTAATGTATGTAACATGTAGGGCACATTTCTGCTTCTGAAAATGGTAGTTAAAAGAAAAGACAGCCCCTCACAGAGCTCCTTCTGTTTGCAGAGTAAATACGATGTTCTAGATACTGTGCTACTTTATTAACAACCCCGAGAGCTGGATATTTTAAAAAACCTATCTATATGTATTTTTTTAAATTACAAAGTGTGCATGTAGAAATACATAGAAAGTACAAGTCACTTTATAAACTAGCTCTCTAACCAAGGTTGCTACATTTGGTGTATGTCCCTCATATACTAAGACACATACAGGACTATCACTGTTGTATTTTACTGTTGGTAAAAATGTAGTCATACCACATATACCACACAGACTATTTCGTCACATATACCACACAGACTATTTCGTCACATCTGCCACTTGCCCTTTTTAACATGACATCACACCTTGGTTACCTATCCATGTTTTTATCCTCCTTTTGCAGGGCTCAGGGAAATTTAGTCACTTTTCCAGCATTCCACAGTACAGTCTTGCACAGCAAATTGCTCCTTCATGTGTTGAAACAGAACCCTCAGGGAGAAGCCTGGCTCACAGAGGACAGGCCATTTTTGCATTTGTGTCTTTAAAGCCACATGTTAAGTGTAATTGACCACCTTCCTAGGCTCTGATTATTTTGGGCTCAGAGATGTAGACAGCAAAGCTCCTGCCCTTGAAGTGGGGACCTTCCCTAGGGAGGGAAGAATGAGGGGAAAAGACCAAGCAAATTCATAACTCAGGCAGAGACTGCAGCTGCAAATCCCTGCAAGATGTTTTGAGTTTCAAAATAAATTATGGGGCAAGGAGTTCTCCTCTTTCAGGTAATCTGCATCTGGTTTCCCAGGGATAGCCCGGAGATGGGGCCCAGGGCTGGGGCTAGGGGGACAAAGGGGAAAAAGGAGAAGACCCTGGGTCCTCAAACCTCCTATTCTATAAGAAGTGCTCAATTGCACAATGATTTCTGGCCCCCTGTCCTGGGGACACCACTCCCTTCGCCTTCTGTCCGCGGGGAGGGAAGAGTCAGAGGCCTCTCTTCCTCCTTGAAAGTGAGGTGCGCTGTCAGGAGGGACTGGCTCCTCCCACTGCCGCCTCCAGGGCTGCAGGGCGTCCAAGCTGGAGACCTCAGGTCCTGATCCTACCCGGCTTCTGCCAGAGCCAGGAGGGATTCTAGAATGACGAATGGTCATTCTTTCCTGGAGCTATCTTTCCACAAAGCACAGTAAGGCCTCTGTGTTCTTCAGTTTCCTTATAGTAACAACAGCCACCACAAATATTCCAAAGCTCTTGGCTTCTTCACAGCTGTAGAAACTGAGGCTTACAGAGGCCTAAAGCCTGGGTGGAGACACAAACCCAGGTTTCTCTTTCTCTCAAGGAGAAACCTGCCTATGTTACTTCTTTCACAGGTATGTCATGAGGACATAATTCATTCATTCATTTATTTATTCACTTACGGAAGATTTATGGAGTCACTGTGCTGAGCCTTGGGGCGCAGTGGAAACAAGGTAGACACGGCCACGGGGCTTACATTCCAGCGAAGGACAGAGAGAAATAAGTAGGCAATGTGAGAAATTGCCTCACATTCTGAATCGAGGGTGAGAAATGATGCAAAATCCAGGGCAGTGGTTGGTTCTCAGCCCCTTGTGTGATCAGAAGCTGGAACGAGGCTTAAATGGAAAGCCAGGCATCCAGGCCCCATGCCCAGTAGATCTGGAATGGGATCGGAATTTGCGAATCTTTAACAAGTTCTTGCACAACTGACACGTACCACCAGGGTTAAGAGCTATTGCTAAGGGAAAAGTGCTGTGACAGAAGAGCTCCCTTTTGCTGAGAGCTCCCTCCCTACCAGGCACCATGCTTCGTGCCTTCCACTGATTCCCCACAGTGACCCTGTGAAGTAGGTGTTATATTTAAACTGTATTTCAGAGATGAGGAAACTGAGGTGCAAATCATCAATTAGCCACACCTGGGCCTGAACTAGATTCAAACCCTGAGCTCCAAACAGTAACGATGGCTGGCCTTCACAACCTCAAAGTGAAAGAAATCAGAGTGAAAAACTACAGGCCTAGAGAAACACGGAGCTTAACAGTCATGTGGAGCCCTTGTTGAATGTACTTAAAAAGCAGATTCCTTCCAGAAGCCACAAGGCTGCCTGTGAGAGTCGAGATATCCATTAGCTAGTTATTAACAACTAGAGCCAAACCCTTCCAGGGGGCAGAGCCAAAAAATGCTTTTAATACCCTCTTCTCTGAAGCGAGAGCAGTGGGACCTCTCTCAGCCCCCAATTCTGCGCACTGAATGACGGTGCAGTCCTCCAAAAACCCACAGAGTTGACTTCAGCTCAGACCGGGACTCCCCAGAGACACCCCAAACCACACCCCCATCAAACACAAGGAAGCCACCTCGCTCTCTCCCCTCCACCATGGTATACTCCTACCTCTTTCTAGAGAGACAGTTCTTTTAGCAGAAGCAGATGCCCTCCCCTCACCAGAGCCCCCGGTGATATCTGATCTCACCAGTCATCGGACACTGCACCCCGAAACCTCAGCTCTTCTAAAGGTCATTCCCCTATTCCTGGCTTGGCCCGGTGTCTGATTGAGCTGTGCAACTGTGACTGTCACTAACTCTGCCTCAGGCCTCAAGGAGCCAGCCTTGTCACACATCCTGGGTGGGTCCTATTCCAGCCACTTGGCCTGACTCCAGTCCCTGCCTGCAGCGGTGACAGATCATCCGTGTCCCAGGGCAGAAGAGGAGTGGGTCGGAGTGGACCAGTTCTCCCTTCCTAAGGACTTGCTGTTCCTATTCCCCAAGAGGCAGACCTTCTGTCTCCCCTGGGAGATGAGAAGCCCTCTTCTTCCTTCTTTGCCTAAAGAGGGAAAAATGATATGCTTTGATTGATTCATTCATTCAACATTCATCTGTATCTCAGACACCTGCTGAGCTTGAGTCCCCTGGTAGCTCAGTGGAGACAGGAGATGAACTGTCCCTGCCTTAGCAGACCCTGAAAGAAGCTGCTATTCATGCCCCTGGGAAGCAGTTGGTCAGGGGGCATCTCAGGACTGAAAGCAGGCAGGCCCAGACCCATCCCAGCCCCACTCCTTCATTGTATTCCTTTGCACGATCACTCCCCTCTCTGAACCTCCATTTCCTCTTTTGTAAAGAGGCCCTCTACTCAAGGTTCTGATAAATAAAAGAGATGTAACTCCTTTTAAACATTAAAAAATTAAATCTGCAAATTACCATTTTTAAGGAAAACTAGATTTTAAAAATCATTCATGAACATAGTCTGTGCCTGGCACAGAGCAGGTGCTCAGAAATAGAGGATGAATGAGATCCAGCTTGGTCTCAGGCCAAGGAAGAAATCCACAAAACCAACAAGTTGTTTTCATCATAGACAGTGTGTGTGTGCTTTCCCAGTCTAACGACTTTCAATTGCGTGATATAAGAGAGCCATCTCTGAGCTGAACATTGTGACCTAAGTGGGTCCAGGGCCAGTTGACCTCTGGTCCTCAGTCTCCTCATCCATAAGATGGGAAGAAAGAAAGAAAGGAACCCCTCCCCCCCAACCGAATGATTTCTTCCAGCTCCTGAACTCAGTTGTTAGGAACATTGCCTCCTTACTGATTTCTCAACAGCAGAAAGAATTGATTTGTTCCCAGGAATGGTGGATGGCACCCTCTGATCCACTGGGCAAATGGGACTTTCCAGGCCACTCTGTTCCCTTCTCCCCTGAGAAGGAAACAGCTTCAGGCTCTGGTCCCCCTTCCTCCTGCCCAACTACCTCACCCGGTTCTCCTCTCCCTCAGGATTGGGCCCCTCACTGCCCTCGCTGCTGCCCGCTCTGTGACTGTGCCTGTGCGTGCCAGCTTCCTGACTGCCAGAGCCTCAACTGTCTCTGCTTTGAGATCAAGCTCCGATGACAAGACCCAGGGTCCCTGCCCTTTGGGGAGTGGCCAGCTCCCAGGGCCCACATGCCCTGTTCCCTGAGGGGCCTCAGGACACCTTTCTCCAGGCTATTGGAACCACAAATGGCCTACGCAGCTCACCAGCCTGGGAACCAGTAGTGGAGAGCCTGGCTCCCTGCAGAGTGGGACTCAAGGAGCCCTCCGCCAGCTGGATGGCAGCCCCTTTGGAGGGCCAGAAGAGAGAATGGCTGGTGCTCTGGCAGGTGCCCCTGCCCTCCTCTCCCCCTCCCCAAGTAAATGATCATATTTGAAGGTGAGGGTGGGGGACACTGCTCACCACAGTGAGCATTATGGGACAAACTTGGGCCTTGAATATCAGGGTGTAGGGGTACCCCAGGCACACCCTGTCCATGGACTCTTGGTTATTCTGAGGTGTGAGTGTAGTGCCTGCATCTGCTCTCCCTCTAAAGAAACAGGCTCCGGAGAATCACAGCAGCCAGGGAGAGGCCCGGAGTCAGGGGAGCAGAGGAGGCAGGGAAGGCCACGGATCTGAGTCCCCTACCCTCCTTCCCTCCGCACAGATCCCTGTCCAAAGATTTCTCCTGCCAACCTTTTGAGGGCCTCAGTCTGGATTTCCAAGGAAGAAATTTCCTCTTAAGTACTGGTGAGTGGGCAGGGGGCCCTCCCCCCACCCCCAAAGAGGCAGGCCCACAGCTGCTTCCCCATCCTTCACTTTAGGCCCCCAGCTGGCATGAATGTCAGGAGCTTCAGGTTTCCCTAAATATAGATCCCCTGCCAGGGGATCTGTGGCGAGGAAAGGGCAAGGGTCACCGGAGAAGGTCGGGGACATTGGTTGGGGGTAGGGCAGGAGCTGCCTTATAACCCAGCCCGGGTGTGGCCTGACTCACTCGCTGCTGACCAGGCTCTGCCCGCTCCTTCGGCGGCCTCCTCGCAGGTGGGCGCCAGCAGGACGGAGCGGGGGTGGGGCTGGGCTGAAGGCGTCGGGATTAAGAGGGGAGACCTGGCGGGTAGGATGGGGAGGCTAGAAAAATATCTGGGAGGCTGACAGCTGGGGGACGGATTTTATTTTGAAGGAAGTCAGTGCCAGGGAGAAGTTTCGCAGGGACTCTGGCCCCGCATCCCCAGACTTGCTTGGGCAGAGCGGTAGCCGGCGGGTTTCCTCTGGGTCTGGCTTTCGGGGGGCGGCCCGGGCGGCGGGCGCGTACGCCCTGCCGGTTCCGGGAGCCAGACCCGCCGGAATGGGGCGCAGATGCGGCGGAGGCACTCTCCCCGCGGGACACCCGGAACCGCTGCCGCCTCGCCTCCGCCCCTTGCCAACCCCTGCCGTCTCCTCGCGCTCCCCGTGCGTGCCCTCGCCGCCCTCTCTCCCGCCGGGGCTCACAGTCGCTTGACCTCTGGATTCGGTTACAACGCGACGCACGCTGCCTCAGCGCTGCCGGAAGCTGGGGCTGCCCCGGGCCGCTGGACTGGGCCCGTGGCGGGGGAAGCTGAGCCTCAGTCTTCTCGGGCTCTGCCACCCGCTTTTCCCCGACCCGACCCCCACCCCATCCCCATCTCTGCCGGTGCCCCAAATCGGCTGAGTCACAGCGCCCCAAAGCACGCCAAGCATTGGGGGGGAGGACAAGGGAGAGGGAGGGGAGGGCCCCGGCGACCCGCGGGATGTGGCCCGAGTCACGTCCGAGGGGGACGAGGTGGGGGAAGGGATCGTGTTCTCGCCGCACTGTGCTCGCCCAAGCGCCGCCTCCGGGCTTCGCCTTTCTGGGGGCGGACTCTCGCACAGTCCCTCGCCTGCAATTGGACGCCGGGGCGCCTCCGGCCCCCTGCAAAGGGAAAATCCCCGCGGAGGGTGGCGCGGTGCCTTTATAAGGCGCGGCACCACCTCCTGACCCCCCGCCCCCGCGCGCCCCCACCTCGGGAGCTGAGTAGGCTGCGTTCCCCTTGGAACGCGCCGCAGAACCAGAGTCCCGGTGACAACTGCGGCGTTCGCTCCCTCAGTCCACTCGCCAGCCCGCGGCTCTCCACCGCTGCACCCAGCCAATCCGCCCCTCTCCTGTGCCAGGTGAGCGCCCCTCGCCACGTGCGAAGGTCAGGGAGAGGGTCGTGGGGAAGGATCCGGGGTGTAGTGGCGGGTCGGGCGTCCGCGCGGAGCCCCCAACCCGGGCCCAGCATCTCCCCTTTCCACCACCACCCACACCTGTGCTCCTAGCCCAGACTCCCCAACCCTTCCACCTTGAGCTCCCGCGGTTTGCTGCGCAGTCCAAGGGCCGCTCCGCGCTGAGTCACAGCAGGGAGGAAGGAAGCAGGGCGAGATGAAATACCATTTCCCGTCCCCTTTTCTTGTTAGGACTCTTGGTGCAAGTATTATGGCCCCTTTGCCTCTGCAGGGATCCTAGGAGGCCCCGAGGGGTGGGGGCCAGCTCATATACTGCCTCAGGGTTCCCGAAAGCGGGTGGTTGGTCCCTGTCCTGGGAGACGGGTGCCCCCGCCGAGGAGGCGAAACCCCTCGGCAGCTTCTGATGCCCCATGAACACTTTCCCTATTTTTCCTTATCGGGTGACCTTGATTCTGAGCCTGGAACAGCTGCAGCCGCAGAGCAGACATGAGCATTTTTCAGGGGAGGGGGTGGGCGCTTGCCTTTCCTCCACGTTCTCTCACCCTGTATGAGCAGTGAGAGGGACAAACCACCCCTTTCCTCCACCTCGGGCTAGGCTTCCTCTGCGGCCCTTTTCTGGGCTTCTGATGACCCTCCTGCCTTTTTCCTAACACCCTTTTTCTAACAACCTTCCCCCACCATGGGGGGAGAAGCCTGACCTTGGGGTGTCCTTGAGGCCATGGAGCCTGAGCCAGCCCTGGGATCTCGGGTGGACTGCAAGGAACACTCCTCTAACAGTCAGAAGATATGGGTGCTACGCTCACATCTGGCTCTAGGGTTGCTGTGTGGCTTGAAACACAGACCTTTTCCCTTCTCAGGCTCCTTTCAGATGAGGAGGTTGGGCCTTCTGCCTTCTGCACAACCTCTAATTCTGAAATACTCTGGTTCGGTTTTGCTTCCAGGCAAGGTGACCCCATGGCAGAGCGCAAGCCAGGAGGGTCCGGCTTCCACGTGACTTGCCTGTCCATGGCTCTGGCCTATTCCCTTTACCCCAGATGCAAGTATACAGCCCCACCCTCAGCTGGGCAACACCCAGCAACAAACAGAGTTAGGAAAGGTACAGGAGGCAGGCCTAGTATAGGGAAGTCGGGTGTAGGGGAGAGCTGGGGACAGGAAGTGCCCCAAGCCCTGCCAGTTGTGGGGCAGGGGAGGTAGGGAACCTTTGCCCTGACCTCCAGGCAAGGAGCCTTGCTTGTCGGGAGACCGCGGGAAGACCCTGCTAACTAGCCTTCCCTGGTCTGTCTGCTGTCCAGGAACTGACAGGCACCATGCCCCACCAATACCCGGCACTGACGCCAGAGCAGAAGAAGGAGCTCTCTGACATTGCTCACCGGATCGTGGCTCCGGGCAAGGGCATCCTGGCTGCAGATGAGTCCACCGGTGCGGGCAGGACACAGTGGGAGGAGGCCCCCAGGTTGGGGGTGATAGGCTGATCCCCTTATTCCCATGTGATGCTTCCCTCCAGGGAGCATTGCCAAGCGACTGCAGTCCATTGGCACTGAGAACACCGAGGAGAACCGGCGCTTCTACCGCCAACTGCTGCTGACTGCCGACGACCGCGTGAATCCCTGCATTGGGGGCGTCATCCTCTTTCATGAGACGCTCTACCAGAAGACAGATGATGGGCGTCCCTTCCCCCAAGTTATCAAAGCCAAGGGCGGTGTTGTGGGCATCAAGGTGAGGGGGCTAGGCCTCAGGGTGTGAGATGTAAGATGGATCTGGGGGAAAGAAATCCAGAGTAGCAGGCTGGGGGATGAACTTCGGGTCGGGAGCCTGGAGACTTGGGTGGAGTCTGCCCCAGATCACCTCCAAATCGTGTGTAAAAAAGCTAGAAACGTATGGGACCTGCTTGGCATTTTTAATCCTTGCAACTGTGAGAGGCAGGTGTTACGCTTACTATACAAGTGAAAAACCAGACGCTCAAGGCCGTGAAGTGTTTTGCTCATAGTGTTAGTAAGTGGTAGGAGCCCTGGCTCTCTGTGTATGTCCTGCTCTATAGGATCAGATAAAGTGACTATGTGAAACATTTGCAAACCAGGAAAGATACTTGAGACATGAAGTAAAGCCAGGACAGGGCGGGGCTACAGAGGAGGAAAGGGCACTAGAGATCACTTCCCTGTCCTGTGTTGTTGCCCCACTCCAACAGGTAGACAAGGGTGTGGTACCCCTGGCAGGAACAAACGGCGAGACAACCACCCAAGGTGAGAACCGTTTAGCTCCCGGCCCTACCCACCAGCCCACCCAGCTCAGTACCCCTCTGGTACCCAGGGTGTGTGGGAGCCACGTGCCCCCTCCTCTGCCATGCTTTGATTCCTCCGTCCCCTCTACAGGGCTGGATGGGCTGTCGGAGCGCTGTGCCCAGTACAAGAAGGACGGAGCTGACTTTGCCAAGTGGCGTTGTGTGCTGAAGATAGGGGAACACACCCCCTCTGCCCTCGCCATCATGGAAAACGCCAATGTCCTGGCCCGTTATGCCAGCATCTGCCAGCAGGTGGGCCTGTAGGTCCCCAAGAGGCCACTTCCCACCTCTTTCCATTCCAGCGTGTCAGCTAGCCTGCCACCCATCTGCCAGGCTACCTGCCTTCCCCAAGGCAACTGCTCCGGATCCTCACCAAGCACGAGGCTTGGGCCCGTGGAGGGCTCTGCAAGCAGAAGAGCAGAATAGGGGTTGTGCAGGTGGATCTGGGGAGATGGCTGATCTGCAATCGGCCAAGGGCTGTGAAGCCAGGGGTCTCTGTCGTCATGGGGATAAGATCTTGGTCAGTGGCTGTGGAGAGCCGTAGGTGGGGCTCTGGGTTAGGAGGCCTCAAGGCTGCCCTGTCCCTCACCCCACAGAATGGCATTGTGCCCATTGTGGAGCCTGAGATCCTCCCTGATGGGGACCATGACTTGAAACGCTGTCAGTATGTAACTGAGAAGGTAGGTTGCCTGCCTGGGCAGTGAGGTGGGCTAGAGAGCTGGGCTGGGGGCCCTGGGGCTGACCCCCGTACCCCTCCCTGCTCCATCCCACCCCACTTTGGTCCCGCCCTGCTGTAGGTGCTGGCTGCTGTCTACAAGGCTCTGAGTGACCACCACGTCTACCTGGAAGGCACCTTGCTGAAGCCCAATATGGTAACCCCAGGCCACGCCTGCACCCATAAATATTCTCACGAGGAGATTGCCATGGCAACTGTCACAGCGCTGCGTCGCACAGTGCCCCCCGCTGTCCCTGGTGAGACCCACACCCTCATCTTGACCTCTGGGAGGTAGACAAACTGTACCCATAAACCTTGTGCCCATGTGCTCTAATTTCCAGGTCAGCTTCTAGGGCCTCCTACCAGTCCCCCGGGTCTCTGACTACAGCCCCTGCCCCCATTTCACCCCCTTCCTCTACAGGGATCACCTTCCTATCTGGAGGCCAGAGTGAAGAGGAGGCATCCATCAACCTCAGCGCCATCAACAAGTGCCACCTGCTGAAGCCGTGGGCCCTGACCTTCTCTTATGGCCGAGCCCTGCAGGCCTCTGCCCTGAAGGCTTGGGGTGGAAAGAAGGAGAACCTGAAGGCTGCCCAGGAAGAATACGTCAAGCGAGCCCTGGTGAGGATGGGGCAGGAAGTGGGCAGGGTGCTGGGGTGGATGGGATCTGAGAAGGAACCTTCTCACTCTGGCTCCTCTCCCCTTTTAGGCCAACAGCCTTGCCTGCCAAGGAAAGTACACCCCAAGTGGTAAGGCGGGGGCTGCAGCCAGTGAGTCCCTCTTCATCTCTAACCATGCCTACTAAGCGGAGGTGTTCTAAGGCTGCCCCCTCAACACTCCAGGCCCTGCCCCCTCCCACACTCACTCACGAAGAGAGGGGGCCTCAGCCGGGGCTCCAGGCTGCTCTTTCCCGTCACTCTTGCCTCCCTTGTGACATTGATGCCTGGTGTTGTCTGTGTACGCTAACTTCACCATTTCCAGCCTACTGCCAATAAACAGCTATTTAAGGGGGAGTCTGTTGTCCATGTCTGTGGTGTCTAGAGCAGGGGAGGGCTGGGGGAGGTGGCAGAGCCCAGAGGAGAAAGCGCCCTTGCATTATGTTCTTCCTTCTTGAGCAGAAAAATAGGTGAAGGAGGTGGACTAGTTTAATACTTTGTTTAATACTTGCCCAGGGCTTCAAGAGAAGAGCTTGTGAATTTTCTTCCAACCACCCAGTTCTCTGTTCCTTCTACCAGCAGCATCTGATAAGGCTTACAGTGGGGAAGCGCATGTGTAACTGCTGGTCTTAGGAGGCTGCAGCCTCAGCCTCAGTTTTAGGCCCAGAACTCACAGGTGTAAAAGGCCCCTGTCACAAAAAAACAGCCACTGACAGAAACTAAGATATCCTGAATCTATAGACCGTACAACATGATAAGTATTCTACAGGAGTAGGTACTGTTATTCCCAGTTTGTCCTTAAGGCGATCGTGCCTCACTGTTTCTTGGTTGAAACAAGATTATTAACGCATGTCTTCTTTTTTTGTGTGTGTGGTACGCGGGCCTCTCACTGCCGTGGCCTCTCCCGTTGCGGAGCACAGGCTCCGGACGCGCAGGCTCAGCGGCCATGGCTCACGGGCCCAGCCGCTCTGCGGCACGTGGGATCTTCCCGGACCGGGGCACGAACCCGTGTCCCCTGCATCGGCAGGCGGACTCCCAACCACTGCGCCACCAGGGAAGCCCAATGCATGTCTTCTTAATCTGCACTGTTAGGCTTGTTTGTTTTCCCATCTTAAAAGGAGATGGGATTAGAACTGACTTCTTAGACTCTGGGCTGTGGAACCCCTTGAAGAACCTGGAATCCTGTCTGACATCCACTTCAACAACACAGACACACACACACACAACTGTCGAGCTCAGGTTCCGGTTAAGAACTGAACCTCTGTGGCTCCTGCATTCCATGAAGCCAGAATAAGGGCCCTGCACTTCCCTATACCGTGCTATGAACCCTTCTCCGTTCACCCAGGCTGGGATGTAATAGTAACTATGTCACATCTTTTGGGTATTAAAGATCTTAGTCATAACCAACGACATAATCCTGCCACTTCCCAAATTTCATGATGTGGACCATTTCCTGTCTGAGCTCTCCTCTAGAGGGGAAAAGAAGATCTTCACCTTTCTGATCTCTGGACCTACTGAATCCCTATAGTCACTGCATAGAAACTTAGTACCTTCTAGGAATTTAAGAACTTAGTCCTTTACCTTTCTCTGCACATTTGCATCTGTTGCCTACATCCAAAACAGAACTGGTGTCTAGTGCCCCTTCAAACTGTGGCCTCACTTCTGTGCCTAGCCTCACTCAGCTCTCTGTGAAACAGTCTGAAGTAAAGCAACTAGAAATTGAGGGTCTATAGAAGATAGCAAAAAGGACATTCCAAAAGGGCTCTGACACCAGGAAGTTTGTTTGAAGACCAATCACTTCCTCTGCGTGCAGCAAGAGACTAGGGAAGCAGAGGACTTCAAATGTCAGTTTGGGATGTTTTATAAAGTTTCTAATGACAAAGCGTCAGAAAGAGTAAGTGACAGAAGAAGAAACTAGAACTGAGGACACAGCTTTCCTGGGTTCAGATTTCAACTTTGGGGACTTCCCTGGTGGTGCAGTGGTTAAGAATCTGCCTGCCAATGCAGGGGCCACGGGTTCGAGCCCTGGACCGGGATGATCCCACATGCCACGGAGCAACTAAGCCCGTGCACCACAACTGCTGAGCCTGCGTGTGCCCTACAGCCCGCGAGCCACAACTACTGTAGCCGGCGTGCTGTGCTCCACAAAAGAAGCCAGCGCAATAACTCCGCGCACTGCAATGAAGAGTAGCTCCTGCTCGCCGCAACTAGAGAAAGCCTGCGGGCAGCAACGAAGACCCAACGCAGCCAAACAAACAAACAAAAACTTCCACTTCGATTCAAACCCAAAGTTCTTAGCTATGCAACCATGAACAAGTTTCTTAACCTTTTTTAGCCAGTTTCCTCCTCTAAAAAAAAGTAAAACTGCAGACAATAAGCAGCTGAGGGGTTTCAAAGGGACCATTCTGGAATCGGAGGTCATGTTAACTGAGGTATAGACTTGGTGTGGGGAAGGTGGACTCTTCCACTTCTAATTTCGGAGGTCCTCCACAGCAGAGACTTCTCTGGGGCCCTGGAAAGAGATCCGGACTGGAATTCCTTCACCATTGAACGAATACTTCTGTATGCCAACTGTTCCAGGCCTTGTTCAAAGTAAGCACTGGGGCTGCAAGTGTAAACAGGGCAAAGTTCCATCCCTCAGGGATTGTAATGGGGGAGGCCTGCTAAAACAGGTAAACAAAAACGTGTAACTTAAAGTTACAGGGTGGAGTCCCGGCTCAGCTCCAGTTTCCCTCACTGAGATGGGGGGACTGGACTGAGGTCCCCATCATCCCTCGCAGCGCCAATCGGCTTAGCCCACAATCACTTCCGTCCGCTTGTTGCCGACATCCGGTTCCTTGGGCTCATTTCCACTCCCAGGCTTGAGGGGGTGGGGTAAGGGCGCGGCGTGGGAGGGGGAGTGTGTGTATGACGCCACGTCCGGCGCGCGGCGGAACTAGACTTCCTCTGCTTCCGCGGCGGGGCCGGAAGTGGAAGCAGTGGTGGCGGCGGCCGAAAGCGGAGGGAAGGAGGAAGACAGGGACCCCACGGGAGCCGGAGCCGGAGTTGCCGCGGCGGTAATAGTCTGAGACCCCTCTAGGCCACCGTCCCCAGCGCGGGCCCGCTGGGCTCGACGGGAGTTAGGGGGGGGTGCTGCCCGGCCTGTGGGACGCTGGGGGCCCGGGAGCCGATGTGAGGGGAGGCGGGAGTGGGGAGGCCGGGCCAGCTCCAGAATCGAGTTGCCCCCGACTCCGACCCGGCGCCCCCTAGGGACACTGATCCGCGGGCTTGTCTTCGCCTTTCCCAGGAGACCCCTGTGCGGTGCGGAGGGGGCGGCGGCCCCGGCTCTGACCCGCGCCGGGGGGTGGGCCATGGCGGAGATCAGCGACCTGGACCGGCAGATCGAGCAGCTGCGGCGCTGCGAGCTCATCAAGGAGAGCGAAGTCAAGGCCCTGTGCGCTAAGGCTAGGTGAGTCCTGTGGCTCCGGGGAAGAGAGGCTTGGGGTTCCGGCCTGGGGCAAATCCAGCTGAGAACTTTGGGCCTGGCTCATCCTGGAAGCTTTCCTGGAGAGTAGCGGAATAGGGCCTCTTCCCTCGAGGAGCAGCCAGCCTGTTGGGGGAAGACAGACCTGGATGAAGACACTTGAAGTATTAGATGATGTGTTTTCAGTGGAGTTAGTTACAGAAAGTACTTATGAAGCTCAGGGAAACAACCCTATCTGTCTGCGGGGAACAGAGAACGTTTCTTGGAGGAACTTTGGGATAGACCTCGAAGAATAAGATGATAAAAGGGAGTGTCAGCAAGAACAGGAGTTCAAGGCAGAAAAGCTAAAGACTCTGTGGTTTACAGTGTTCTTTTAATTCCAATAACAACCCTAAAAGGTGGATGGAATTGATCCCATCTTACAGGTGAGGACTCTCATATTCAGCAATTAAGCGATAGATCGTGAAGCCAGTTCTCCATGTCCTGTCCCTTTTCGGGCCATAGTGCAAGAAAGTGGAGTTGGATCACTCTCATATTCATTGTGGGAGCCTAGGAAATAGTAGCCAATAAGCCAGAGTAGAATTAAGCAAGGTGTGGAGGGAGGCCCAACTCAGTTCTGCGGGAAGTAGGGTGATGTGGTGATTAAGAACCAGGTTTTGGAATATGATGGCACTAGGTTGGAATCAGCTCTGCCAACTTCCTCGCTGTGTTGGTGATGTTGAGGTCTCTGAGAGTCTTTTTCTTTATGTGGGGATAATAGTACTTATTAAGATGGTTGGTGCTTGGGATGTGCTTAGCATAGGCTTTGGTAAAATGTAAGTGCCGAACAAACGTTGGGTGTTACTGAAATTATTTTGTAGGAAGAGGGCAATGCTGATATGGACAGAAGTTATTAGAGAAGGATTCTAAGAGAAGGTGGCCTTGAATGGTGAAAATAATTTGGATGGCTGATGGGGGCAGGCCCAGTGAGGAAGGGCATTCCTAGCAGGATGAGAATAGGAGTGGAGCCCTGAGATGTGTGGGCAGCGGTGAGGAGACCAGTTACCTGCCTCCTGAGGAACTTTCCATGGCGTCCACCATGCTGGAGAATTGTGGGGAAAGTGCCAGCAGAATTACCCCACATTGATGGAACAACAGGCCCACTGTTAGCCTGGCCTTGTACTGGCAAAGAACTTATATCCATTTCCTTCCCACAGCCATCCTGTGAGGTTGGAATTATTAGCCCCATTTCACAGAACAGGAAGCTGTGACTCCTTGAAGCCTAGTGATTTGACCAAGGCCACCCAGAGAGAAAGTGGCCGTCGGGCTCTTTGCTTGGCTTTGCCCCACACAAACCTGTAACAGCCAGACAGGTCCTGCATGGATTTGGTGAACAGGCAGGGCCTGCTTTTAAATGCTCATCTGTGGCTCGTCATGTATTCAGTCTTCATTGCTCTTTGCAGCCCTGTGGAATAGGCAGGGCATGGGGTGAGTATTTCACAGAGAGGACACTGAGCCTCAGAGAAGATAATGTCTTGCCCCAGGTCTCACAGCTGATCGGCGGGGAGCCTGGTTTTGGATCCAGGTCTTTGACCATACTCCACGCTCACTGACAGCCAGGCAGACAGACATTTAGACTCTGTGAGAGGTAGCAGGGGGCTACTGAGGGGTGGAAGGGTCCTGCCCAGCTCCTAAGATGGAGCTTGGAGGTACTAGGCTCAGGCCTGAGGTCGCCATTGTTATCCCAGGCCCAGTCTGGAGGAGGACCAACTCTAGCACCTGGCCATGGCCTCCTGAGGACCCACCAGGGGCCCAGGCTGAGGCTGGTCGTGTCAAGAGCTTTTGCTTGCTCAGAGGGTACGGAGGCTCAAAACCTTGGAACTACAGAGGCCTGGGAGCTGAATTTGCTCTTGTGAAAAACATCAGCACATTAGAATGGCCGAGGGTTTTGAATTGGGGGTGGTCTTCAGTATGAAGTATAGCTTTGTCACCTATAAACAGTGTGACCCTGGTCAAGTCACTCTACATCTCCAAGTCTTTGAAATCCTTACGGAGCCTGCATGAGATTCTTCATACCCAGGGACAGGGTCTGGCGCTTTGGTCAGCAGTGTTCATTGTGGAAGTGAAGGTGAGCAGGTGTGAGCCCTAAGAGGGCTGGTGATGTGCTGCAGGTGACAGAGCTGGGGCCTGGTTCCCACGCTGTGCTGAGGCTTTGCTGGCACTGAGGTAGGTTGCAACCCAGAGTCTGTGGAAGGGGCTGGTATAAAGTCTCAGGAAATTGGGTCCCTGAGGTTCCAATTCAGCCACTCTCCAGCTTTGTGACCTCGATTCTGCCCCTTTTTTCTCTAAAACCTCAGTTTCTTTGTCAGATGAGGATGGAAAGAACCTCCCGAGTCAGTTGGAAAGGTCATTATAAGCAGTCACGTGGCAGATGTTTGGCATAAGATGCAGTACGGGTGGGAGAGCCTTGCTGCTGTCTGGCCCCTTGGGCCACCGCCAGCGCCTCCTGACATTCCTGGAAACCGAGGCACACCTCCCTGGAGCCACCTTAGTCGTACAGAGCACCCTAAGCCCAGGGAACTCCTGGTCTTGTGGGAGGGGACTGGCAGAGAGAGGGCTGAGCAAGTGCCTCCCACGTCAGACTAGCTTGGTAAGGGCCACACTCTGGAGCAGGCTGCCTTGGTTCAGTTTCTGCCTGTGTGACTGGCAGCTTTCTTCATCTGAGCCATAGGAATCATCACAGTGCCTGCCTTCGAGGGTGGTGGTTTGATTACCTGCATCATCTGTGCAGAGCTCTTACTACCGTCCTGGCACGTGGTATGAACTGAAGTGTTCACGGCTGCTGTGATTATGAAGGACAAAATCTAGAAACACGGCACTACTTACGATTAGGCGTCTGTAACGGACAAAGCAATTTCATGTCAAGCCCACTCAGGTAGAAGTTGACTGCACTGCAAGGAGAAAGGGAGGACAAAGTCCTCACTTCCTCTAAGTAAATAATAGAAAAGCGTCAACAGCGTATCACTTTGAAGGTGCCTCCGACGGCCGGCCTGCCCAGGGCACCACCCCTATGACTTGGGACAGTCCAGGAGGAGGCCCTTGTGGTGGGGAGAGAAGGGCTGTAAGAGCTCAGCCAAGGGCACAGTCTCTGAGCAGAGGGCCCTGTGGAGAGGAGGAGGAGGACATCTGTTTTCTGGGAGTAAGTGCTGGCTGTGTGAAAGGGAGCAGCATAGAGGGTCAAGGCCGGGAAAGTCCCAGACTCCTTGCAAAGGCTGAACAAGAGCTTGGGCTTTGGCCTGTTGGCAGCAGGGAGCCACACACAGAAGGGTCTCGGGCAGTGGGGCTGTGGTCAGGCTATCCTGGGGAAACTGCACACCTCCGACCTGCCCCCTAGAGGTTCAAGGACAGCCTCATATCCTCCCCTCTCCTGCAGAAAAGGTCAGGATTAGGCTTGGGCTGGCTTGGCTTTGGTGACCCTGGTCTTCTCCTGTCTCCAGAGAGATCTTGGTAGAGGAGAGCAACGTGCAGAGGGTGGACTCGCCAGTCACAGTGAGTACCTGCTGTCCCTCCACAGCCTGGCTTGGTCTTTTAGGTACGTGGTCATTCCCGTTAATCTTGTGGGCTCTGAGGTCTACCCCTCATCCCTGAGAGCCCCATCTTCAGGGGAGCTTTGCTAGAAGAATTGGCTGTTATGGGCAGGGTCTTTGGAGTCGTTGGAGGGATGCCCTTGACCAGGGCAGAAGAACTCAGTTTGGTGAGTGATGACTCCATGTGTTCCTGTGTGTTATTAGTGACTTTATTCTGGGTGCCTGGTGGGGAGTAGGGAGAGGAGGGGGCCAGGTCCTCTGGGAGCTGCAGGTCTAGCTGTAAAGAATTGGCTCTAGCTCTTGCCCCCAGAATAGTTGGCACTCAGTGCAGGATGGGGGGATTGGAGTGGGAGAGTAGATTTTTGGCCCTGAGCAGCAGAGGCTTAGCCGAGAGAGATAAGGATCTTCTCAAGCAGTGGGTGTTTTGAAGGACAGCCCCTGGTAGCAGAGGCTTTCGGACTGTTGAGTTCCGACCTGCTTTCTCACTTCCAGGTATGCGGTGACATCCATGGACAATTCTATGACCTCAAGGAGCTGTTCAGAGTGAGTGTGGGGAAACAATGGGAAAGGTGACCTGGGGGATGACTGGAAGACCCCTTTAACTGAGAGTGGAAACTTTCGAGTTTGGTGAGTGGAGTGGAGGCCAGAGGCCCCTAGTCAGGTGGGCCCATTGTGAAAGAAGGGCCTCAACTTGACTGGAAATGGGCCACCACAGTGGGTCGGGGACAGTTTAGGACCAAGCAGAACCTTCTTCCTCCCTCCCCAGGTGGGAGGCGACGTCCCTGAGACTAACTACCTCTTCATGGGGGACTTTGTGGATCGTGGTTTCTACAGCGTCGAAACGTTCCTCCTGCTGCTGGCACTTAAGGTGGGACCCTCCGACTTCTGGACCCCAGGCCTGGGCCACCTCGGGCCTGACCTGTCTGCATCCTTTCCGCCCTCATCTCCTGCCCATCCACCCCCAACTCTTGAGCTGTGCTGCTGGTGATGGACAGATTCTGCTTGGGTGGTCAGAGAAGCTTTCCTTGACTTGGGGACATCTGATTGGGCCCCTGGAGGATGTGGTCAGAGGGACGGCATTGTAGGGGAGGAAGTAGAGGCTCATCCAGTTCAGAAAGTGGCAAGGAGTTGAGTTCAACTGGGTGCATTATCCATTGGGGGAGAGAGGCTGTAAGGGACCAGATGACAAAGTGCTCTAAGTGTCTCGCTAAGGGCTTGGTCTGTACCTGGTGGATGAAGGAGGGGCCATTAGGTTTGTAGTTGATGTGAGGGGGGCAGGAGGTGGGAAAGGATTCAGCTTTGCATTCTCTGGAGGAGGGAATGGGAGTGTGTGAGGTGGATGTAACACTGTTCAGGCAGAGGTGACATGAATTTGGGCCACGGCAGTAGTGATGAGGATGGAGCGGGGCTGGCAGATGTGAGGACATCTAGGAGCACGAGACAGAGCCTCAACCCCAGGCCTGGCATGGTGCCTACCTCCAGGTTCGCTATCCTGACCGCATCACCCTGATCCGGGGCAACCACGAAAGCCGTCAGATCACCCAGGTCTACGGCTTTTATGACGAGTGTCTGCGCAAGTACGGCTCGGTGACCGTGTGGCGCTACTGCACTGAGATCTTTGACTACCTCAGCCTGTCGGCCATCATCGATGGCAAGGTAGACCCGCCACACAGCTCCCGGGGATGGGAGAGATGGAAGAGGCGCTGGGCCTCAGCCTCCCTTCCCACCTGTCTCGCTCTCCCCTGTAGATCTTCTGTGTGCACGGGGGCCTTTCCCCCTCCATCCAGACACTGGACCAGATCCGGACAATTGACCGAAAGCAAGAGGTGCCTCATGACGGGCCCATGTGTGACCTGCTCTGGTCCGACCCTGAAGGTGAGGGCAGGAGCTCTACTCTTAGTTTAGTGAGTGACTGAGGGGGTCCTGTGGTTAAAGCAGGTGCCTTGAAGGGACAGCCCGAGCCGGTGAGTTTGGGACAGAGCAGAGCGGGGCTGGTTCTCACTGGCGTCCGTGCTTGACTGCCAACTGGCTGGCACCCTTGATGAGGAGGAGAACATGGGGAGCTGGCTGCTCTGAGCTGGGGGATTGGTGGGGGTGTATGTCATTGCTCAGGGGCTTGTTGAGGACAAAATCACCGCTCCCTGAATGTGAAGGGGCTTCTGCAGAGGTCAGACTCCCAGAATGGTAGCCCCCTCAGGACCCCTCATTTCGTGGGCCTCCTCAGCTAGTATGGAGCGGAGCCGGGATGACAGCCAAGCCTCCTCGTCCCCGTCTAGGGCTCTTGTGCTGTAACAGCAGAGCCTCCACTCCCTCGCTGCCCCGCGACTACCTGCCCGCCGGCTGGGCAGCCCGGGGTCACAGGTGCTGTCCTGGTGTGGTTACTGTCAGCACCTCCTTTTGCTCTTGTGTGTACCTGTTTGGACAGTAAATTACATGGTCACCCTGATGGTGAGGTGGCTCAACTATCAGGAAATTCTTTGTTCTTTGGAGCTTATCTGCTTCAGCATTTGCTGTCCTGCCCCCAGGCTCCCTCAACGCATTCGGGCCCTGTGCTCCTGCTGCACAGGCCTAACTGGGGGAGGGACAGGGCACTCTCCTGCAAAGGGCCGCGGATAGCCACTGATGCCCTGAAGACACCCTCTCGGCATCCCTACCCTCATCTGCCTCAGACACAACAGGCTGGGGCGTGAGCCCCCGTGGGGCTGGCTACCTATTTGGCAGTGACGTGGTGGCCCAGTTCAATGCAGCCAACGACATTGACATGATCTGCCGCGCCCACCAACTGGTGATGGAAGGTTACAAGTGGCACTTCAACGAGACTGTACTCACTGTGTGGTCGGCACCCAACTACTGCTACCGGTGAGCTGCCTGGGCTGGGAGGTCGAGGTGGGGATCTAGGCTGACCCGACCCGCTCCTTTAACACTGCTGCCCTCCGACTTCCAGCTGTGGGAATGTGGCAGCCATCTTGGAGCTGGACGAGCATCTCCAGAAAGATTTCATCATCTTTGAGGCCGCTCCCCAAGAGACACGGGGCATCCCCTCCAAAAAGCCCGTGGCTGACTACTTCCTGTGACCCCTTTGGCCCCTGCCCCCTCCAGCCCCTCTGGCCCCTGGACCACTGTGACTCTGCCCTCTTCAGACGAAGGCTGGGGGGCTGTCCCCCCCAAAGAGGGCACTTCGCGGGTGAGGACTTTTCTGGAGAGGCTTGGAGCCTTGGCTCCATGTTCCTCCTCCCCTGTCTCCCCACTTGAACCGTGAAGTTTCCAATAATGTTGTTTTTCTTTTTTTTTCCTTTTTTTTTTGTTTTTAGATAAAAATTTTGAGAAGAAAAAAAAAAAAGAAAAAAATCTAATAAAAGAAGAAAAATGGTCTTTGGGTTTGTGTCAGAATTGATTGGGGATGAGCAGTGGTGCCAGCGCAGCCTGGCAGACGTCAGGACATTGCCTGCCCTGGAACCCCAGTCCTGCCAGCAAGGTGCGGCTCAGGCCAGTCAGCTTGCCCAGAGCCTCCTGGTCCCCATCCAGTGACAGTGACTGCTCCTGAGGGCTTCCTGAGTGCTAGGTAGAGGGGCGGGTTCTCAGGCAGCCCTATTTAATTCTCAGAACATTGAGTGTCAAGACACTGATTCCCCCGTTTTCCTGAAGAGGAAACAGGCCCAGAGTGTTGATTTACACGCACAAGGTCAGGCAGCTGGAAATGACAAGTCTAGACTGAGGCCTGGGTCTCCTCACAAGAACCTGTGCTCACACAGCCCCACTCCGGGCCGAACACCATTAGCCCAATGTTTCCAGAACACTGATGTCTTCCGAGTTTTATTAACAAAAGATACTCTAGTCCTGAGAAGAGACCGGCGTGGCTTGCACTGGGGCGAGGGGGTAGAACTTGCAGGGCCCAAGGGTGAGGCTGGGAGGTGGGAGTGCTGGTCCCAGGTCCCATTTGGCCAGGCAGAGCCTCCCTCCATTCACACTGAGGTGAGAGCCGGGAAGGGGAAGCTGGCCCCAGCTGGACTCCCAGCGGCTTAGCCAGAGCTTTGAAGCCAGAGGGGGGTAGGAGTGAAATCAAAGTGTGAAGTGGGGTGGGGGAGGCCCGAGGCAGCCATTTGGCGTGGGGGATGGGGCTGGTGGAAGTGAGGGGGCAACAGGCCTGGGGGAGGGGAACTGGAGGTTTGTGATGGAAGATGGGGAGGGAGGCAGAGGGGCTTAGCAAAGGCTCAGTACATTGGTTTGGAGCCCACATCCAGGTAAGCCCCAGGCCCAGGGTAGGGCAGAGGGAAGGGGCCCCCTTGGAGGAAGTGCGAGGCAAAGGACGCTGGGGGTGCCGCTGCTGGGTATCCTGAGCCTGCTGGCCCGGGCTGCAGCTCCAGGAAGGCAGCTGAGTAGGGGGCTGGGCGCCCAGAGTCTGGAGCCTCAGGGAAGCTGGGGTTCCTGAAGTGCAGAGAGGAATCAGAACAGGGGAGAGGGATCCCCAGCCTGGAACAGCCCAGCCCTGTGCCCTTGTCCCACTCACCTGGTCGGAAGGTGACCAGGGGCCCCGTGGAAAGCTGCAGGGTGCAGAAGGTAGGCCTCAGCACTGGGGCCACCACAGGGAGGAGCCGGGCCCGGGGCAGCTTCCCTGGACGCTGGGGCCTGCTCTGGGTCTGACTCACGAACGTCCCCACCCAGTGTGGAATCACAGGGACCGCCTGGTGCATCTGGGGAGACAGAAGGGACAGTGTGGGCTAAGGAGGATCAGCATCTCAGGCCTGGCCCCATCACCACTGGAACTACACTCACCTCCACTCCCATAGGTCGCTGTGGCTACTGGCTCTGGGCCCCGCAGTTTCCTCTTCACACGGGCGTCTCGCTCCCTGGGGAACAGATGATGATGATGATGATGATGATGATTGATGATGATGATGACGATGATGATAATGGTGATGGTGATGATGGTAATAAGAGCACTTACCAGGTGCCAGGCATTTCACCCAGGGACCCTATCAGGTAGGTGCCACTTTATACCCATTTTACAGAAGAAGAAATGGAAGGCCAGAGAATTAAATGACTAGGAAGTAGCAGAGCTGGGATTTATTCCCCACTTACAACTTTCTAATGGTTTCCTATTGCATTTAGAATCCATGGAGACTCCTTCCCAAGCAACAAGGCCAGGGCATGGTCTGATCCCAGCTCATGCCACCTTGTTCACTCTGCCCATCTCCACTAGCTGCCTTTCAGCCACACTCTGGAATCCCCGTCTATGCCCTCTTCACCTGCTTTACTCCTCCTTCTTGTCTCAGTTCAAGCATAACTTCCTCAAAGGAGGCCTCCTGACTTCCCACAGCACCACACGCCCTCCCTGATAACCTTTGTCAAGAGTGATACTGTTACATTTGTTAGGGTGATCCTTGAATTAATATCTATCTCTTCTGCCTGACTCTAAGTGTCTTGAGGGCAAGGGCCAGCTCTGAAAGGGTTAGTTAGAAGCCAGTGTCCTAACGAATGAAACCTTTACAGCCCACCATAACCTGGCTACCCATCACCTCTCTCACTCTACACCAGCCATACCGCAGGCATGCTCCCACCTCAGGGCCCTGGCATGTTCCCAGATATCCACCCGGCTCCCTCCCATACTTCCTCCGAGTCTTTTCTCAAAGGTCCGCTTAGTGAGGCATTTCCAGGCCTCTTATCTAATAAATACCTCTCTCCAGTCCTTCTGATCCTTGCTTGCTTTCTTTTCTCCTTAGAACTTATCCCTAACATATTATATAATATTTATTTCTCTTGTCTACTTGTCTACTCTGCCCACTAGAGTATCATCAGTTCCACGAGGGCAGGGGCTTTGGTTTGTTCACTGTTGCATCCTCACTGCCTAGAACTGTGCCTGGCACATAAGCTGGTGCTAAATAAGTATTTGTCAAATCAGTGAGTGAATACGTGCTTTTACTTACATTGTGTTCCTGGCATCCAGCACAGTGCCTGGCACACACTGGACGATTAATAAACATTTGATGAATGAACGAGTGCATGAATGAATGAATGATGCCCACCTCTTACAGTTTCTGCCATTCTCCCGGAAGCCCTTGGCAAAGGGGTTGGCTGCGATCTTCAGTTGTGTGATCTGGGGGTGCACATCCAGAGTCAAAAGTCAAAACTCCCACAGCCTGGGCAGGGCATGCCACCCCCTCAAGCAGGGTCACTCACCCGTGGGTTCTGGTAGGCTGTCACAGAGATGAACATGGTCTCGGGGAAGCGGAAGGAGGCAACGCCCCCCCAGTGTTGGCTGCAAAGCTGGGCGGCCCGCACCAGGTGTATGCGGGGCTGATACTTATGCATGGAGTGCAAGATCAGCTGGGAGGGAAGAAACAGGAGTGACCCCCTACCCTGGTCCCACCCCCAACCCTTATCCGGGGGTCCCAGCCTGGGCCTCACGTGGCCATGGGGGTCCAGCGTGCTGTTGGTGAGCTTGACACGATGGAAAGACACAGGCTGCCGCATCCAGTGGGCACCGGTGGCAGGGGAGTCAGGATGAATGTAAACGCGGTCAGGCAGGCGGGGCTCTGCCTTGCCGCTGGGCTCCCAGCGCCGGCCCTGCCAGCGGTAGCGAGCCCCGTCCACCGGAACCACATCCAGAAGAAACAGGTAGCGGGCCTCGGGGTCCAGGCCAGTGACTGATACTCGGCAAGCAGGGAACATGCGCCTGCACAGGGGAAGGGACGGGAGAGGCCTGGAGCTACCCAGTGGCCAGTGGTGGGCACAGCACCCGCAAGGAGGCATAGCCACTGGCTCACGCAGTTGTCACAGAAAATCGAGGGATGCGGAATCAGAACTCAGAGGGCAGGATCTTAGAGCTATAAGCTTGTCTCATCCCATTTTACAGACGAGAAACAGGACCAATGGGGTCAGGTGATCTGACCAGAGTCCCACAGCAGGTTAGGAGCAGAGTCTGGACTCCTGACCCCTGGCCCCTCAAACTCCATTTGCAGAAGCAGGAGTGACACACTTTTCTTCTGGAAATCTTGCCAGGAGCCTTCTGCTCCCCACCCTGGTCTCCTCACTTGATCTCCAGCACCAGAATCTACAGCTGCTGGACAAACTTGCTTCAGAGAAAATAAAAAGGGGACTCACCACGCTAGTGCCTGAACTCCTGGCCTAGATAAAGACTGCACACTGGCCCATATCCCTGCCTCCAAGGTGACCCCTGATCCTGGCCAGACTTCCCTGATGCTGGTCAGTGGCTGGCCCTTGACCCCAGTCATAGTCTGAATGCTGACTCTAGGCACAGACTGACCCCTGATCTAGGCCACGTACTAACTTATAACCCAGCCCGACCTTCTGCCCCCGGCCCAGACTGACCTAGGACCCTTGCCATAGGTTAGTCCCCAAACCAGCCACAGACTCCACAGACTGACCCTTGACACTTGCCACAGAATGACCCCTGGTCCAGCCACAGAAGAACCCCTGACCCAGGCCACAGTCACACTCTGAACTCAGGCAGAGCTCTAGCCTCCCTAGGAATCCCCACACGTAGCCCCATCACCGGGGACTCTGCCTTTCCCAAGAGACCCCCACCAGGAACACACTGGGTCTTCGGCCCCTGGCCCAGACCCCTCACCTCCCAGCTTTGGTGATGATCATCTCTGTTCCCACGGAGTTGAACTCTTTCCACAACTCCCGGTTCTCCAGGCTCAGGCTGACTCCAGGGAGTGGATGAAGGCTCTCTGGGGCTGGAGGGGGCGCCTCAGTGCCCAGGGTTGGGGGCAGCGGGGGTAGAGGTGGGGGAGCGGCCAGAGTTCGGGGAGCAGCCTCAATCCCGGAGAGGAAGCAATCCAGTTTGGGAGTGTCCAGATCTGGAGATGGGAGGAGAATGAGCCAGCCGAGGGCCACAGCCTCCACCCCAGTTCCTACCCAGGAGCTGCTCCCACTGCTCACCAGGGTAGTGGTAGCCCTCTGCCAGGGCAGGCGGGAAGCTGGAATCTGCTCCGGGCTGGGGGGCCCCTAGGCGGTAGCCGGTCCCCAGGGAGGGGTACAACTCTCGTGGATGGTACATGGAGTAGTCCTGTCTGGCCTCAGGTCACGCTGCCTAGAGTGCCCCAGTGCTGAGAGATGCCCCCTTTATAGCTCACAGCTCAGCCCCTTCCAGACCCAGGATCACAGCCCCTCCCCTCTTTGGGGCCCTGGAGTTAGGCTGGGGTGGAGACCCCTGGGGCCTGGAAGGGGTCCGAGAGCGGGCCGGATACCTGGGTACCCTCCCCTCCTCCCCTCCCCACCAGGCTTCATTAGCCCCGACCCCCTGCCCCCTCATTACATAATTAACTCCTCGGCCTGATTGATCCCCGGGGCTCGACAGGGACGCAGTTTGGCGCTTCCGGCCAGCTGGTCCCCGTTCCCACGGGGGGAGCCCCGGCTAGGGATAAGCTACTGAGGGGCGGGGCCTGGACCCTGGGATGGAGCCTGGAGTCCTGGGGCAGACCTTGGCGCCCCAGACTTTTCTGGCAGGTGACCCCCCCCCCTTCACTTGGAGGGACGAAGCATGACTGGAGGGAAGGAGCAGGGCTGGAGGGACGCGACCAGAGCTTATTGTTAAGGCGGGGCACCGGGGACCTCGAGGAGCCCGCAGACGAGGCCCGAACTCCGGAGTCCTTCCCGGTTCCCATTCTGAAAAACCTCCAGCCTCGGCTAAGTCTCAAAAGTTTAGAGACGGCGACAGCTCGACGATCTCTGACCGCTGACGCCCGGGTTTCCCAGAAGGTCCCGCGTTGGGGAACCTTCGGAACTACACTTCCCAGCAGGCCCAGGGCCGAGGCTTGGCGCGAAGGAGACAGGCAGGTGCCGCTGGGGCCGCTGGAAGTTGTAGTTGGGACGAGGGGTGGCGGTGAAACCCGCGGCGCAGTTGCCTCTCAGGAGAGCTGCCCCTAGGCGGCGTCAAAACGTTTAGGCTGAGAAGATGCAGATCAGCTGAGGTCAAGGCCTAGCGAGCTAGAGTGGGCGCGGGAATCTCCACCTGCAGTGAGATCCGCCCCCGGTGCTGGAGAAGGTAGCTGAGCCCCAGGAGCGAAGGCTCCCAGCTTTGACCGCCGTGCCTACCACCCCATGTCTCTGGGACTCAAAAGGGAACAGGTCTATAGAGGCAGGAATCTGCATTTGAGTCCCCCCCTTCCCGGATTCCACGTGAGCCTGGGGCTGTCTCCACTCCATGGTTTTATTATGTACAAACGCTACAGAACAAGGGGAGCAGACACGTGTGGGGTAAGAGGTGCCCGGTGGGAGGAGAATTTCACGGGGCAGATGGTGCACTGGGGCCAAGAGAGAAGCACACAGGCCATATCTATAGGGCAGGCGGGGCAGGAAGGGGTTAAAAATGAGATCCAAGCCAGCCAGATCGCAGGGAGGTGCGGGGGTGTCGTCCACCTTGTCCACCTTCTGATCTCCCCCCAAGGTCACAGTGCATGCAATAAAATATATGTACAGGAGCTGGATCCTTCCTCTGCAGAGGCCCTGATGGTCCAGAGCTCCGTTCGGGTGAAGGGAAGCCAGTGGCGCCCCCTGGCGGCCAGGCAGGGCTGGAGCCACATGCATCAGGAGCAGGGATCAGTCCCAGCCATTGTCTTTGATCATGTGGTTGAGTTCAATGATGTACTTCCCCTCTTTGTACTTCTGGCTGCTCTCGAAGGCCTGTTCCTGAAAGGAGGGGAGAGGCTGTCATCCCTGGAGCTAGGGCCTTACCAAAAGGAATAGGGGCTGGGGAGTGGATATGATTGGCCTCATTTTACATATGAAGAAACTGTCAACCAGAGAAACCACCTGCCCACAGACACAAAGCTGGTAAATGGCAGGGCCAGGTTTCTCACTAATAGGGGATAGACAGAACTCTCTGAATCATAGGTACTTTTTAAGTACTAATGTTGGCTCCAACAGAGAGGATATGGAAGGTTCTAAAAGGTCCGGGGATGGACTTCCCTGGTGGCGCAGTGGTTAAGAATCCACCTGCCAGTGCAGGGGACACGGGTTCGAGCCCTGGTCTGGGAAGATCCCACATGCCGCGGAGCAACTAAGCCCGTGTGCCACAACTACTGAGCCTGCACTCTAGAGCCCGCGAGCCTAGAGCCCTTGCTCCGCAATATGTGAAACCACTGCAATGAGAAGCCCACGCACTGCAACAAAGATTAGCCCACCCTCGCCGCAACTAGAGAAAAGCCCGTGCGCAGCAATGAAGACCCAATGCAGCCAAAAATTAATTAATTAATCAATTTAAAAAATAATAATAAATAAATAAATAAAAGATCTAGGGATTACAAACTGGTAGCCTGAGGGCCAATTTTGGCCTATACATGTGTTTTGTTTGGCCAACAGAGAGTTTAATAAAAATAACTTTCAAACAGTAAAATACGGGGCAGGCCATGCTCATTCCAGTTTACCAGACTGACCCCCTCTCCAGATGTATGTTGCCCCTTTTGCAGATCCACAGCATCTGCTTGGCCCTGCAAGCACTTGAGTTTTTGATCTCTGGATCAGGCTACTTCTTTATTTTACTGAGGTCCAGAGAGGCCAAACCACCTGTCCAGGGACACAATGCAAATCTGTGGCAGGGCCAGGGGTGAACTCAGGTCACGGTTCTGTCTCTGCCTGGGGCATCCACCTCACAGAGGCACCACAGCTCCAAGAGATGCCTGAGGATTCCTGTCACTTGCAGTTTCCCAAGAGCATCTTCTTTTGCTGCATCTAATCTGATCCCCGTGACAATTTTGGGTGCCAGGTGGTGGCTTTATCCTCCACTGCCAGATAAGGAAATGATGCTCAGGGTGGTGAAATCAGACCCTGAACAACAGCAGTGGCAATGAGGGCAGTGGAAAAGGAGGCTCGTGGACCCAAGCTCCATGTTGCTGTGGGGTCTTGGGCAACTTCTCTGATCCTCTGAATGGCAACAGAAGCTGGGGGTCAACGCTTTGGAGTTAAAAAAAAAAAAGACAAAACGAGGATTCTGGTCCCTATTCTGTTACTTACCAGCTGTGTGACCTTGGGGAAGTTACCTAACATCTCTGGGCCTTCCTTTCTTCTTCTGTAAAGTGGAGATAATAACAGACTACCTACAGGATTGCTGTAATGAGTGAATGAGATAAGATATGCCAAGTACATAACAGTGCCTGGCACATAAGCATTCAATAAATGGTAATTCTCATTATATATCCTCATCTCTAAAATGGGAATGTTTGTGCCTGTGAGGAGAAGGACGAGTTAAGAGAAAAATTCTAAAAGCCCTTTTGCAGGATGTGAGAGAAGAGAACATAGTCAGGGGATGAAAAGACAGTTTGACTTGGGTGAACTGGGCCTATACACCCTGAAGGACTACCAGATGACTGCTGTGAGGAGGAGATGATATGAGGTCAGGTCAAAGGCTAGCCTGGGATCAGAGGTCACTGACTCACATATTTCCAGCCCAAAGTGGTCTTGCAGTTTTCGCAGTGGATGTCAGCAACAGCATGGAGGCCTGTCAGCAGCACCCGCTCCTCGGCTGGCCCGCAGCCCACGTTCACCCTGTGGGGACACGGGGGCAGTCCCAGGGAGGGTCCCCACCATCACAAAGCCCGCCTCTAGCTTGTATCCTACTGTATCTGTCCTTAGCATCCAAAAGAAAGGCGATCAAAGCTTCCTGCCCAAACCAGGGGACTCTGAGTCTCAGTATGATGCCAGGGGTCACAAGTCACGACAGAGGTCAGGGAAAGGGAGATTGAATACTCACACAGAGTTGAAGAGGTAGGCACGCCCCTGACTACCCTGGAAGGACTAAAGGGTGGGAGGGAAAAAGGAGGGGATGTCAGGGCTCTTGGTGGGGAGCTGCCAGGCAGCCCCTCTAGCCTCCCAGTCCAGCCCCAGCTGTGACCTGGTTACCTTGGAGATGAGGTCGTCGTGGTTGGCCAGGTGAGCACGGCAGTGGGCACAGCTATACCTCCGGTGACAATCATCCAAGTAGGCCTGAAACGTCTTGGGCTTTGAAATCCGCACCATGGCGGGGGCCGGGGGCAGTGGCCCCACGCGGGGAGCGGCCCACGGGGAGCAGAGGGAGCCCAGTGCCTGCAGCGGAGGGAGTGGGCTGTCAGGACCCGGGCCACACACATGCAGGCATGCCCTGGACCACGGGGACTCTCTGTCACACTTGGCTGCTGTCTCCTCTCCCCAGAGCCAGCAGCCTCTCCAGGGGCCAGAGCTATCTGAGTTTTGACTCACTGAGGAGTGCTCAAGTTGTATCAATGGGGAAACTGAGGCTAGGAGGAGCCCAAGATGAGTCACCCACCTACTTTCAGCCTCATCCCCGCTGACCTAGCAACTGAAGCTGGAGGAAGGGGCTCTAGAGTGGATGAGCTGTCAGTTCTCCGTTTAGGGGGAACATGGAGGGGGTTAGGAATTGTATGGTCCTTAGGACCTCAGCTGAACTGCCGGAGGTGGGGACGACTTCACTTGAGGCACAGGGAGTTCACCTGGGGAGAGGATGCCTCACCCTCCTGGAGAAGGCAGGAGGCCGCGGTGAAGGTGGAGGGTCACCTAGGAGGGGACGGGCTCTTACCTGGGGGCGCTGAGGCCTTGTTTATGCCGAGGGGATCTTACCTGCATCGCGGAGCCTTACCTGAGACCCTGGGACTCACCTGGGGCGCGGGGACGAGGGGCGGGCGCGGCGGGGGAAGGGGGCAGTGCTCGCCGCGGGGGCGCGGGGCGACGCGCAACCCTGACTTTGCGGGCCTCACCTCGCCTGGGCGCGCGGGGGTCCAGTCCGCCGGGGTGGCCTGGCCTGCGAGTGGGGGGCGCTCCTGGTGGGCGCCGTCCCCCCC